CCTAAGCCCAAGAGCTAGAGGTTGCTGTGAGCTGTGACACCTTCTACTGAGGGTGACAGAGTAAGATTCTGTCTCTAAGGGAAAAAAAAGTTGTTTTAAAATCACACACTTTATTTCCACACTAACACACACCCAAGAAATCTCCCAAATACTTTTAACAATTCAATTAATATAGTTATAAAGTCAATTATATACTATTCAAAACCCCAAAAGTCAATCAGTTTAACAATCCAAACATTTCCAGATGTGGTTTTCAAAGATACCTTTGGTTGTGGAACTAGAGTTAGAATCAACATACTTGGAATCCATTTAAAAACATTTGCTTATATTAAGGTGTTCAATAACTTTAGTTTACATCTGGCAAACTGGAATTTGATGATGTAAAGTCATAACACTGAAATACACATATAGGTTTTGCCCCAAGGCTCCCTCGGTAAGAATTAAGGGCCATAAAAAGGAGAAGTCCAGGCTGTAACATCTCTTATTCTATAACAGAGGTACAGGAGTTTAACACTAGTTATAGTGACAATCATTAAACTTCATCATCTAAATGGTCCCTTGCTAAGGTTTCAGATGAACACAAATGCAATTTACTTTTATTACACAGAAAAAAAAAAAAGAAGGATCATTTTCTAACTTACCTTCACCTATGTGTGTTTCTGCTATAAGCTGAAGGTGCTGAATACAGGCAGTAGCAATATCTACCACTCTATCAATCATAAAACTTCCCTCTGTATCAATAAAAATTGCTTCACCTGCCACTCCTCCGAAACATTCTGGTATCTGCACATCTACTGCTAACTGAATACTGTTGAGAGAAAAAAGCCAAATGACCAAATCATTATTTTATCATATAAGACAATGTTTTCCAAACTCCAGGTGATGACCAGTAAGTTATCTCTGAAAATTTTATAAGTGCAAATATACTGCCCAAGGCAACAGAAATGTCTGACTCTCTAACTCTGTCTCTAGATATATGTGAACCAACTCATGCTTGGATTAGGGGGTAGGTGTTCCCATAAAATTAAGACTGAAGACTTATTAAGGATTTTTAGGCCTCTGGAAATAGAATCCTGTTCTTATTATGCATGAACTTTTTTTTTTAGATATTTGGCTTTCAAGTATATTCTCAAAAGTGCACTAATAAAGCTGCTTGTTTACCCTTATGACTGCACTATAATGTTGCAAAAGAAAAATTTTTTTTTGAGACAGAGTCTCAAGCTGTCACCTTGGGTAGAGTGCCATAGCATCACAGCTCACAGCAACCTCAAAGCCTTGGGCTTAAGCAAATCTTGCCTCAGCCTCCTAGGTAGCTGGGACTACAGGC